GTTTTTTTTGTTTTTGTACTTGGATGTTAATGTGTTAATGTTGTATGTTTTGTTTATATTACTGAGTGTCAACACATATTCTCGTCTAATTTTTTTTAAAAGGGACCAAAAAAAGAAAGCAATTTTTCATAAAAATTTTAAAAGCTTTTAGCTTATAACTTTTATTTTTAAAAGTTCTCACGTCCGGTTTTTCACTTGGTTTTACTCTTTGAAAGAACTCTTCTTTCTGGCTTGCATCGAAAGCGAAATCAGGATCACCTGTACGCGATGTAATTTTGTTTTTATCTCTAGGATCGTATAGTGCGAAAAGCATCGTCTGCCGAGTTTTTTTTTTTTTTTAATTACGAAGGAAATACACCAGAAGGGGTCTATTATGGTAAAAGAAAAAGTTCACGAATGTGGAAGTAGCTTTTGCACTCTTTTGTACCAAAAAAAACAAAAAAAAAACAAAAAAAAAACGAGAAATAATCTTAATGTGGTAATAATGTGGTCCCTTGGTATAGCTTTGACATGTGAATGCTGTGTGCTGTTTTTTCATTGTAGTGAGTGTAGGCATGTGAGTGTATGTTTGTCAGTATGAATGATGTAGGCATGTTTATATAGTGGTAAACCGCGTGTCGCATTTTTGCATTTCAATGTTTTTTTTTGCTGTATCATAATATATCACCACTTGTCGCAAAAAGAAAAAAAAAAAACTAGAATTTTCTCGATCAAAGCCGCTTGGCCTGTTGACGTTGACAAATGCGCCACCATCGAATATTTGGATAATTTACTTTTTGCAATTGTTTGCATCAAATATACATCTAAAATTCTATCGAGGCGCGTTGTCTCGTCCGAGTAATATATCTTGTGTAGCCGGAGATAAATTCGAAACGTATATATATTCAGTTGCCCGCGCGAATCGACGCACAAAACAGAAGCTCTGGTCGATAAAAGTATATTATCGTTTGGTTACGCGGCCGAGGGTACGCACTCGGCGCCGCGCTTTAGGTATTTACATGGAAAAACTAACCCTATTGCATTATGTACTGATTTTTTTTCATTATTTATTTTTTTTTTTTTAAGTTAACTGTAAATTCTTTATGCTTGCGTGAATATCAAGAGGTTTTGTGTGGCTGTGTGTGTATGTACATACTACTTAATCCGAGGAAAAAACTCTCTGTAACGAAAAAACCTGTTGCTCCTGCTTCTGGGGGCTGTGAGAAATACACCGTTTGATAATCCTGTTAAATTAAAACCGACGAATAATCATACACGTTAATGTAAACGACTTAAAAACCGACCATCGATCGACGCCCGTGCACCGTGGCTCGTTTGATTTTCATTTTATTTTTTTATTTTTTTGATATTCCGATTGTAAGGTAATTTTTTAATTTTCAAAAACTTTATTTTAAATCAAATGTGTTTTTAATTTATTTCGAATAATCAAATTTGGTGAATCAAATTCATGATATGAACATCAAACGAGTCGTGCGACGAAGCGGGGCCGATCTTTTAAAATGTAGCTCTGACGATTAATCCTTTAGCGATCGTTTAAAAATTTTCCTTTTTTCATCCCGTTAATGAAAAGATCCTGGGCGACGCGGTTATTTAATTTTACGTTTTTTTTTTTTTTTCTACCGAACAAGGCTTCTGAGACCCGAAAATAGTTTAAACCGGTAACTTAGAATTATCATAATTGTCCCGAAAATCAGAAATTTGATTCCAACTCGATAGTTTTTCTCTTTTTAATTATTCAACAAAAAGGATGAGAGTTCGAAAATTAATTTTGTTATCTTTAAAAAATTCTTATCTCTATTTTTCATCATGATAATTTTTTTTTGAAATTCGCATTTTTAAAATCGAAAAAAAAAAGAAAAAAAAACTTGACACCGAGTTTCGACGTATTTCCGGTCTACAGCTACCTTTTTCTCTCAACATTTTTGTTTGCTTTTTGGGTGCATGGTGTGGTTTTTCCCCTCCGTTTTATCGTCTGGACTCGTCGAAAGGTATTCCCATCGAAAGCGCGAACGACCACGACTCTTAAAAGGGTTGGGCACGAGCTATCAATAAACGGCCGACGCTTGGCCGACCCATTTATCAACGGATCGCGAGACTCGACGACCCTTTTAATTTTTACTTCGTTAGAACCTATAACGGACCCTCCTTTACTATTTTTTGTGCCATCGTTTTACAAAACCCATACTTTTTGCTCCCTTTCTCCCCCTCCAACAATTATATTCCCCAAGTACGAAATCGACGATAGCTCTCGATCGTTTGTTGGTTTTTTTTTTTTTTGACTTGATAACCCTTTCGAAAAACCCATCCGTCCTACACTTGTTTCCGTATCATTTTTAAACTCTGCCTTTTCCCTAACAGTATTGCGAGAACGTAACGGTATATATTGCAAGTAAAAAGTTCGAAACGACGCAAAATTTGATTACGCGTTTACTTATTCGGAAATAAAAAAATATTTCGCTTAGTAACGATCACAGGACCTCAGATTACGCTCAATCACGCCCGCGTATGGTTCGCAGAAAAAATTTGCGCTCCCTTTCATCGCGTTGCCGCACAATCATACGCACACCTTTTTTATTTGTTTTTACGCATTTCACGCTCGCGTAAATTCATCTTTTTTGTATATATATATATTTATCATTTACACCCTCAGTCGTTTGCAACATTCACGCGCGCAAAATTATCATCACCATAATATTTATTATTCTTTAAATTTATTTATACACAATCTCTCTCTTTTATATAATTCTCACTCGCGTTTATCTCTTTCGCCTAAATATGCTAGTCTCATAGACCCTATATTCAATTATTTATAATATATATATAATATTTAGCATTTAGATTTTTTTTCATTATCATTTTTCATAAAAATTTTAAAAGCTTTTAGCTTATAACTTTTATTTTTAAAAGT